GTCCCCAGGCCCGCCCCGCTCCCTGGGCACGGGGGTGGCACAGGCCTTGGTGCCAGCACACTCTGCTCCCGACTCCCAGGCCCTGAGGGACCTGCTGGCCCTCGCTGCACCCCGGCACAAGTGCCCACAGAGCTGTGACACCCCGGTTCTGCTGCAAGTCCTTGCCGGGAAAAAACACCCCCATGCACTCACAGCCTCCTGCGCCCTAAGAGATCCTCCTGCTGCTGTAACTGCAAGCTACAGATCAGGTGGTAGTGGGGCAGACCCAAGGGAAGCTCGAATGGGGCCGGCAGAACTCCTCCGGCCCATTTATGAGTTGTGGAGAAGTGGTACTGCTGGAGAGCTGGATCTGGTGGTTTCCCACAACTGACAACTACAGTGATGAGGCCTTACGTCCGCTTCTTCAGCTCCTTCTGGACGAGTGAGCGGCGTTGAATAGGTCTGTCAGTCCACCTGGCCCAGGGTCTTGAGGAACGTGTGAGAAGAGCTGCCCTCACCAGCGATTTGCTTTGATTAGCTCGCACCTACAACTGTTGTACTAACTTGCGTCTGGGTGGGATGTGTTCAGGATCCCCCCGTGCACAGGGATAACGGTGGCTGGCTCATCAGATAGACTGTCCCCGTTTACCTCCCCATCTCTCTAGACAGATGATCATTCTGGTTAAGAAGCAGGTGTGAGGTGCCAGCATCAGCCCTCGGATGAGGATGTTGTACCTACAGCAGCTGCCAGCACTTGCAGAGTGCTCAGTCTTCATGACTGGGATGAAGACTGTCAGGCTAGCCCAGTGTCCAGACCCCTGGGGTGGGAAGGAGGCAACGGCAATGCTTGGGCTCAGCCCAGATCCCCCTTCACTCAGTGGCTCTCACTCCATGACAATCCTCTCACGTCAGAGCATTCTCCAGTGGTTATTGAAGACTCACAGGCAGGTACGAAGAAACAGACAGAGAAAAGATGACGTGTATTCCCTGTTCCAGAGCTAGAAGAAGACAAAGGTCACCAGTCTTCTGAATGCTTCCTTGCAGTCAAGGGCTTCTGGAGAAGCCCAGCTTCGTACATACACACTTGGCAGAAGACAGCAGGAGAAAGAGAAGGTTTCCCGGCACCATATCCACCCTGATCAAACCACTGCAGCTGAAGTCAATATCAAAGTTCTTACCGTCTTCCACGAGTTTCTTGGGGTTTTCTATCCATTTTCCTCTCAGATGTACTTAGGGGAGAAGCCACCTGTATTATCTTCATGTCTGCTGTGCAGACAAGGAAATGCTGCACTGGTACTTGTCCTCTCCTCCCCTCTCGCCTGCTCTCCTCGCCCCTTCCTTTTGCCATTTACTCTTCTCCCCTCTCACTGCTCTTCTTTTCTTCACCTCTTTTCTTCTCCTTTTCTTCTCCAATTTGCTTCCTGCCTTTTTATTTATTACCGTTATCCTCTTTTGTCTTTCTTTTCTAGCACACTGCAGTCAGTACCAGGGCTGGCGTGTTTAGGGGGTGGAAACTTTTTGAGGGTGAAGGTCCCAAAGCTGTGGCAGGCTCATATATGTCGGAACATACCCATAGGCTACAGACCCTTCTGTGCAGACCACTGCTGGTTTCCCAGTACAAACCCTCTCAATGCCCAGTGAAGAGCTCAATCCATTGAGCAGGACTGAGAGACTCCCAGGCCTGGGCCCAGCCCAGCAGAATGGCCGTGCAGTGTCACTGCGGCTGGCTGGGGGCTTTGGACAAGCCTTCAAGGCACTGGTAGCGCTGCCTGCAACAATGGAAACCAAAACAGATTGCCAACATCGTAGGCACATAGGCGTGGAGACAATACGGAAAAGATCCAAAGGGGTTAGACGCAACAATCTCTGTTGTGGAAAGGCTATTATCCATCCCTCTCTGCTTTTTCAGACCTTATCAGTTGTGTTATTATCCCCCACAACAAAGGTTCAGCTGCCAAATAGGCATGGAGACAATACGGAAAACGATCCAAAGGGGTTAGACGAGGAAATGCTGCATTGGTGCTTGTAAAGGGAGCTCTCTTGTCTCACAGGGCTGGGACTCTCAGAGACACAAAAGGGTGAAGCCATAGGTGTCATTATTTGCATGAAAATAGTTTAAGTCTGAGTAAGAAACACACCTTTGGCACTTCTTAACTTCAAATGATGTGAAAGGAAACATGACACATCCTGTTTCTACAAACTGTTTTCCAGCAACTGTCAAGAAAATCTTTAAACTCTTCAGGGTTTGCAAAGCTACTTACCTTCATTCATTGTTTTCCTGTTTTTCTCTCAGGTCAAACAGATTTATGTGTTAAAGGACAACCTGTCCTCCTGAATAGGAGCCAGCAGTGTGCCCAGGTGGCCAAGAAGGCCAACGGCTTCCTGACTTGTATCAGAAATAGTGTGGCCATGAGGATGAGGGCAGTGATTATTCCCCTGTACCCAGCACTCGTGTGGCTGCACCTTGAATACTGAATTTGGTTTTGGGCCCCTCACTCCAAGAAAGACATTGAGTTGCTGGAGCATGTCCAAAGAAGGGCAGCGAAGCTGGCGAGGGGTCTGGAGAATGTTACAAGTAGCGGCTGAGGGAACTGGAGTTCACCATCTCTGAAGGTATTTAGAAGTGGTGTAGATGTGGCGCTTTTGGGCACAGTTTAGTGGTGGAGTTGCCAGTGTTAGGTTTGAGGTTGGACTCAATGATCTTGAGCATCTTTTCCAACCTAAATATTCTATGGTTCTATGATTCTATGAATCTGATGGCATAACCATTTGTTTATCCTTCTCTTTGTGCACCCAGCCACACTGTAATGCCCTCTCTTGGATACACTGCACAGGAAATGTTGGCAGAAGAGCCAGTCCAGGTCTGCACATACGCAGCCTGCAGCCTTTTGCCTTTACATCCAAGGTTTTGCTGGAGATATTGTGGCCATGGATGCCTGCATGACCCTGTCCTGTGCTGCAGGTGGACAAGTGAAGCCCAGGAGAGCAGCCTAGCTGCATTACCCTGAAACTTCTCCTGAACACAGGGCAAGAAGGCACTCAGGAATTGCCCTGTAGTCTTGTTATTGGAGTTAGCAGGAGGCAGAGGAGGGAAAAATAATGTTTTTCCACAAGCTCCCCTGTGGGGCCTTTGCAGGCTATCCTCACCTGTCCCTAGAGCCTCTTAAGCAGCAGATGGCCACCTGCCAGCTCCTCATATCCTGACCCGCTTTTCCTGAGAACTCAGCAAGGCAGAGTTTCACAGACAAGAGGAAATCCTTAAACAGCATGCAGCCCAGAGAGTGGAAAGAGGTTTTTTAGGGGTTGGGTTTGTTCTGCTTTTTTTTTCCCAACTTCCCCATGAATGTATTTGACAGCTCGCTGTCCCTGTCAGTGCAGGATCCCTGAGGAAACCAGAGCTGGAAGGACTCTTCTTGCCTGCGGGAAGCTTCCCAGGAGCACAAGGGATTTACCAATTACCACCTTTCATTCCTCATCTCTTGCCGCATCCCACCGAATGCCATGTGCAGTGGTAAGCTGCAGACAGGTTTACTGGTGGCCGGCTACTTCATCTACCTGCTGGTGGGTGCAGCCGTGTTCCAGGCGCTGGAGAGGACCACTGAGAAGCAGGAGAAAATAGCAGCTGTCCAGATGAAGGAGGCTTTTCTGAAGAACACCCAGCTCACAGTAGCAGAGATGGAGCAGTTTATGAAGGTAAGTGCCAGCCCTGCAGAAGGGCTCCTATTTCCCCATCAGGTGTTGTTTCCTACTCAGCCTTGCTGAGATGCTTCACTGTGTTC